TTCAAAATCACGTTAAAATGTGCTCCCCTCAAAAATTTAGATGGCGCAATCTGCACCATAAATCCCTTCTGGTCACCCTAGTATTTAATTAAGATAATACTTATTAGATTTCGTACACTTTAGTATTTTTATTTTCACTTTTTCGTGTGTAGTGGGGGCACCAAGTGGTTAAAAGTTTTAGAGCGTTTCTTTATTTAAAATAAGAACTGAAAAAAAATCGTATCATAAAACATAAGTTTTACAAGTTTCTTTTGTATAATTTCTGTATTTTTTTTTTCTGACGAAATCATCCATAATTTTAATAGTGGTAATTTCGTTTAAAATATTTTACTCTATATACAAAATACATATTATTTTATCCCCTCCCAGAGAGTTTCTTAAGTCACTTTTTTCAAGATTTTTTTTTCTTCATTTTTCCACTCACACCTGTTAGAAGTTCCGACAACCAGCGAGTTTGATGTCGATATGTAGAAGATTGGAATATCCTTGAGGAAGAAGAGTGCTCAGCGGCTTCCTTCCTCTCTTGATTTTAATATTTGTAATTAGAGGAGGAGATACCTCATCCAGCTTCTTTTGAGATACCTCCATTTGTTATCGGACAAGTTAGTTGTGGCCATGCCTTGAATCAGTGAGTTGGTATGCCAAAGTGAAATCTTTTGTAGTATGTTCGTATTTGTTCATTAACTGTTGGTATCTGTTGGTCTTTATGTAAAGTAATGTAACTGACGCACAAAGGATCCTCCTGAAAGTTTTTTATTGAAAAGTCTGTAGTTTACGTATATAAGTCTTTTTGGCTGTCCTGTACATCTGTGAAATGTAGGTGCAAATGGGCTTAAATAGGTAAGTATACGTTTAAAATTTCTGTCCAAGTTTTAATTTCGAATGACTTGAAAGGAGTGAGTATAATAGTCGTAGTTTTAGATTTAAAGTTTTTGTTTTGTTCTTGATATATATGCACCATGCATTTCTTCTGTCAAATGTCAGTCCAATTTATTGAACTTTGTCTGTCTGAGGAATTTAGACACTGTCAAGATAATAAGCAGGGCAAGTTTCAAGTCGAAGGGTAAAAGTGATCTGTATTGATGATTTTTCATGGTTGAGTCCTATTTTCCAGAGTTTGTATCAGTCGTGGAATTTGCTTAGGTGATATTGGAGAGTCTATGAAGCGTAGATTGAATTTTGATGTCTTGTAAAGATTGCTGTACCGCCTGCATCAGCCGCAGTCTGAGTATCGATACTGTCTGGAATATCTTATGTGTAAATGATATGCAATAAAGGAGCGGGTACTGATCCCTGAGACACTCCTACTAAGGCTTGTTTAATAGTAGAAAGTTGTGTACCTTGGAGAGAGTATCGTCTTAAGTTTGAAAAGAAGTTCCTGATGCCAGACTCTATCGACACTTGAGCAATATCCAGAAATACTTCTGTTGCATGTAAAATGTGCTCTAGTGCTCTCGCAATATAGTCGATCACTTGATGAATCGTGTGAACGGTATTCAAATTGATATCTATGTATTATGTTTTCGTTAGTCGGTATGTCAACAAGTCTTTTGTAAAGAAGTTTCTCAAAGATTGTAGAAAATATTGGGAGCAAGCTGATGGGTTTGTATGATGGATCTTTACACGCTTTAAAACTAAACTGATTTTTTTTCTGACCCATTAGATAGGAGAAGAGTTTAAAAAATCAATACTGTTTCAACATATGGAACATGCAAGATAATTATTTGTATGTTTAATAAGTACGTGAAAGTATTGATATGATTTTTAAATAAACAAGTACTACCATTTAAATTAATCAATTCTTACTGTGCGCACTCATTATATTCTGTATAATTATAGGTTAAGTGTACACAATGAAATTATTTTATTTCTTAAATAAACCCAGTATTTTGAACTTAAGACGCTACTTGTCTGTGCAAGTTCGAACACTGTACTTCCTCCTTAGTTCAGTCTAGGTATGTGATATCGAAGGCTCAATATCGATATTAATATTGGCCTATGTATAACTAAGGATACCAAACTATAACATCAAACTATCGGACGTGAAATATCGATAGTCGATATTTTCAACGATTATATAAACATTTTTGATGTACGAATATCAATATAAATATTGATTCTCCATCAAAACTTTTTGAGGGGCGCATATTTTGACGGGTTTTTGACTTTTGTGGGTGAGCGAATTTCTATGGGGTTATGAATTTTCAGACTGAAGAAAAAGGGAAAAACATAGAACAGATTGCAGCAAGTTTAATCAGTGGCGGATCCAGGAATTTTCTCAGGGGGGCGCACCTCTATACCATGTGCTTCCCTTACCCTACTCGTTCCCCCACCACTACCCATCTCCCTTCACTCCTTAGCTGAGTTTCGCCGATCAAAAGTCCTCTTTAAATGTTTTTAACAAAAGCAAATTTCTATACTGTTCTCCAAATTTCCTCCATGTTTGAGTCAAATCGAATGCTCCATTTTCAAACTATAGGCATATCAAATAACACATTTCCTGTGTGGAAGTGTTTTTTTTTTTTTTTGATTAGTAGATAGAATTTGATAAAATTGATGCTATTGCATTTTACATTTACCAGTCCCTAAAAAATTCCCTCAATATTTGAGCCAAATCGAACATGCGGTTTTAGAGATATAGACGTATCAAGGAAAACACGTTTGCGCATATATAAGAGAAAGCAACGGAGAGAATTCAATAAAATTGACCCTACATTATTTTTTCTCAAGTACTTTATATATTTTATTTAAAGTAAATATTGTTTAGTTCCAATTACAGTGAAGCAATCCTTAATTAGTTAAATTAAATAGTTTTTTAGTTATCATTATTCAACAAAAAACGTGACTTACTTAAAAAATCACAAAACTTTAATTTTCTAATTTCCTGCTGAAAATCGAACCATTGTTTATATAAACTTTTTTTTATTTCTGCTATCACTCATTTAAATATTTCCCTCTTCTTATGCGAGACCCTGTATATTGTTTTAGACTTACAAAAAAGATTGCTAACTTGAGTCACCAAGAGAAAATTTATACAGTCAAAAACTCCAGATTTATCTAATCTTTTATTTGTTCATGTATTACTACTAAACAGTGCATCTAAGAAAAATACGTACTCTTTAAGAAATTGAAGAACGTCAAATTGTGCGTCGAACGAGTACCTAAACTTAATAATATGATTAAGTGATATGGTCGATAACCACGGTCAATGAACGCTAATTTTTATTGGCATGGTCAAAATTTGAGACAGATATTACCATAAATGGTCCTGCACCTTGGAAATGAGTTCTCTAAGAAAGAAACTCAGAATAATTTCCGATTCCGATCATAATCAGATTTCGATCAAATCTAATACCAAATAATCAGTGCCTTACTTCAAGAAAACGTTCCCAACAGCAGCTATTTTAAAAAAAAAGAACAACACTTTTTAATGAGAAATATACAAATTATTATCGTGACCAGTTTTATGAATTAATTTTCCGCCATCATGTATTTCACCTGCGAGACTCATTTCGGATTTAGTAAGTACAAACTGCGACAGGAGCACAAGCCTTCGCATCTCACGGCGGCCCAAACACTACATCACTCTTTTCTTTAAATAGTTGTTTTTTGTAACTTTTTTTCCACCAACTGAAGCAGAAGTCGCTAATGCTGGTCACGCTGCATTTTTTTTTTTATATTACATTAGGAAATTCATCTATGAAGCTGAATTTTCGCTATAGTTCACTTTTCCTTCTTGAAATTTTTTTGTTTTATTCCAGTTTCCAGGGGGAGGGGCGGCTGGATCCGCTAGTGAGTATAATTGTATATGATCTACGATTTTTTAAATTTTACTTTAGCTTACTTAGTTTTTAAGAAAAGGTGAGCAATAAAATATCTTGAGAGAACGGGCGGTAGTAAATTCTTGCGCCATCGGCCTTGTGGGGGATGGTACTCCTGCGTTGATGACAGTTGAGCTACCCAGAAACACTCCACGCGTGAGCAAGTCTCCTAGAAAAATAGCTGGAAATGACAATTTTCTCACTCTTACTTAGACTTGCGATAACTGTTGAGTCGTGTTACATCAGTAAATAATCTTCTATTAAAGCAAAAATTAACTAATTTGAAAGATGGGAAACTAGCTTCATTAGTAAAATCTGCGAAATTGTGGCCAAGGACCAAGCGTTATCGATGAATTATCGTTATCAAACACTTCCATGATATTACAGTCCGATATGGGCCATGCCCTTCCGTTGTTCCATTTAATGGATAAAGGGCTTTGCGGGGTGTTTTAAAGTTCTACATTAGATCTTCACAATAGTCTTTATGTTTAAAATAACCTTTGATTAAATTTTCAGTGTTAATTTCATCCGATATTTCTACCACAAAATGAACATGAAGGTGATGGTATTGCTTGGTTTTCTAAAGGAAAAACTTTTCACCTCCTGAAGATCCGTTTAGACATTTCCCAAGCTATGGGAAATACAATCATATAACTTAACTAACAGTGACATAAACGCTAAGCTAAACTTGCAATATCAGAGCTGTTAGGAGAATGGAGTAAGATGCTAGCACCCTTTTTGAGAATTTTACTTTGATCATGAGTGAACGGTGGGCAAAAGAGATAATTTTCCAAGTTGGAAATATCACGTAGTGCAAAAATTCCGGTTACACAAAACGCAATATTTTTTTCCAACTGACCTTAAATTTTTCATTGTTTTCAACAATGCATTTTGAAATAATACGATCGTTTAGATTAGAAACAAACTTTTCATTACGCACAAAATTGCAAATATGCAATTTTAAATAGTCAGCCTAAGTACAAAACTTACAGTTCTTAAATATATTCAACCCTTAAGCTATAATTATCATGGTTTCACTAAGAATAATTTAATATTATTAAACTAATAGTGAAATTACTATCTTTTTGATATTAAGTAGAAAAGCAGACGAGTTAGAAGTATAACATTACCTCTTTTTCGGAAACCTGAAAATATCCTTCCAACTGTTGTTGATATTGCGGGTGAAAATTTTTCAAATAGTTTTTTTCCTCTTCAAGTTTCAGTTTTACACAACATGAATAATTTTTTATTTAAATCAAAGAATCTCATAGTCGTGGCTACGGTTGGCATAACAAGTTGGTATGCGGGATCATATTTTGAAAGAAATAAGGCCCAAATCAATCAATGCTATTGTGTAAGAGGCAATGCTAGTAATAAAATAAAGCATTTACCTGGCTTACCTGTTTTTGCCACTGTATCAGCTGCTACAGTGATTCAACCACCCCATGATTCTGAAAACCGCTTGGTACCAATTGGAGATCCTACATCACCGGTATTATTAATTTTTTTTTTTGTTTCATAGTAAAACCTCTCATATCGGACAGACCTATTTGGTTGGCAAGTAAAGATTTTTAGCCCTGTTTGTAAGGTCATGCCTTGGACATAGGAACTGCCAAATTTCAGTCAAAGAGATTAATTTACTCCTCTGAACCACATTTTACAAAATTTTTGAAATCATGAAAACAATACTAATGGTTTATAATACAAATGCCCACCTGTTTATATTGGTGACAACCAAATTTCTTAGACGGACACTGTATATTGTATTGGGCTATTATTCGACAGGATGACCTGTGGCCCACATATCAAAATGAAACGAAAGACTTTGAACAAAAATAATATACTCACTTTTTTCTAATCGAAATTGAAAATCAGACAAAAACTAAATTCATACCCTTATCTATTCAAACTCATATGGACATACGCCTCACAAATTTACAGTTCTGCATAAAGACACACATTTACAAAAACTACAATCATTTTAATCCAAAATTTTAAGACTAATAATAGCAGCTCCCTAGTAAACAACAAAACTTTACATACTGACTTACGACAACCAACTATCCACCAACATATATGTACTTTCTACTGTCGATATCATCTTAAACTACACAGACTTATCAACGACATGACCACTGCTGACATGCCCATCAGAAGACGACTTAAGTGGAGCTGGATGAGAGATCTCCTTTCTTGAGTTAAGGAATTAAACCAAGACCAGGTAGAGGTGCTGCTGGCTACTATTCTTCCTCATGCCTAAAATGCCAATTTTCTTTACAATGACATCACATCTGCTTATTGTCAAGATTATGACTGGTGTGGATAAAAATATGAGGGGAAAAAATGGTTTATAAGTATTAATTATATAGTGAATTTCAATACAAAAATAAATTTATATGTGGAGTTTAGCCAAAAAAAAATTATATTAATGAACTTTATTCATAATTAAGAAAAATAGTTGTGATATATGTATGTATGTATTCAATTTTTGTATAAGCATTACACACCACTTCTCTGCAGACATCCTTCTACAAGAGACAAATCTGTCATGCCCGTAGCTGTCCATTGTTGAGAGGTTTTACTGTATTTGTTTTCTTTAAATATTCAAGATTAGACTAATTTATAAAAAATGTTAATCTAGATGCTTACTGAGAGTTCAAAGTATGGTTTTATGGGGCTTGATACAATTCGTACCTTTGATGATTTTGTTCTTTCCTATGACAGGAGAAATAAAGTTCCAAATTGGGTGTTTGAGCACTTGACAGCAGACCGTTTCAATGCTGATGGTAAAGTTGACAGATCAAAATGTGAGTTTACTGAAGATGAATTAATTCACAAATATTTCAGGTAAATATAATGAGTTTACTTGTTTTTAAATTATGCGTAATAATTTAATTTTTTGATAACTATTTATTTCTAGGTCTACTAACAAAGATTATAAAGGTAGTGGGTTTGATCGTGGTCATTTAGCTGCTGCTGGAAACCATCGTCTTACTCAGAGACATTGTGACCAAACATTTTACCTTAGCAATATCGCACCACAGGTTGGAGATGGGTTTAATCGCCATGCTTGGAACAGATTGGAGAAATATATCAGAAAGTTGACAAGATTTTATCCGCATATATATGTCTGTACTGGACCTCTATATCTTCCGAGGTATTTTAATTTCTAAATGTTAGAAAAATTTAATGTGTATTATTCAGTTCATAAATAACACATATTTATTTCAGAGTTGAAGCTGATAAGAAAAAGTATATTAAGTATCAAGTAATTGGTCCAAAAGAAGTTGCAGTACCAACACATTTTTTTAAAGTTGTTGTCATGGAAACCACTAAAGGGGAATACCATCTTGAAGCATATGTGATGCCTAATCAAGCTATCGATAATGAAATTCCCCTCACATCATTTCGTGTATGTTATTTGTTTATCAGTATATATTCCCATGTTTGTAAATATTTTTAAAAAATATTTTGGCCAATCATAAGAATAAGTGATCATACGTATAAGTGAGTAGCTATTTTAAAATATAAGTAGCAGTCTATTTTAGAGAACAAAAATAAATCTTTTAAGGAATTTTTATGATTGGATAACATACATTTTGTCAAATTCTGTCCAATAATTGGTGTGTGTTTTTCTTTGAAAGAATATATTTTAAAAACAGTTTCTCCCATAGATTTTATTATCAAACGACGAATCATAGACACTGAATACAGATTTATGTTTATGTATAAAAAAAATATGTACCACTACAACCCATGAAGAGTCTCGGATTCGGTACTATTTATGGAAAGTACTGTTTCTAAGTCAACAGTTGTACAAGAAGATGATTTGACTGAGATCACGCTCAACTACCTGGTTTTCCTCCTTAATCATTTATTTAATTAAGGGTATCCACTTTATAGAGGCTGTGTGTGCCCCAGGAGGATCTCCTGATCCCAGCATCGCCCCACGGCTTATGAAACAGAATAAATTTTATATTACTAAATTTTATATTACTCTGTTCAAAATTTCTTTCTTTGATTTTTACTCAAAATAATATAGTGCAGTAACTTCTAGATTGCAAGATTTAATTACTTCATGTTATACTTATCCCTCCCATCCCATTTATTGTACATGATTATGAATGATTTACAGTATGTAATACATCTTTATCTTAATAATAGAAAAATTATAATTAACTATATTTCCACTTTTATAATTATGAACAGTGATATTAATTTTCAGAGAGTTATTTCTGGGTTGTCCCAAGTGCTAGAAACAGATTCCCAGTGCTCATAATTGACAAAAATTTCCTATTTCTCCTATTATTCCTGTTTATATCAACCCCATGTTCCATGAACCCTAGAAAAAAATAATGTGGGTTGTCCCTTTGTTAAATCTTCGAATTTTTCTATATATTATAAGATTTTATATTGATGGTGAAGTTTATTTCCATTTTAATTTATAGGTTCCTCCTGAGACTATTGAAATCCATTCAGGTCTGCTCTTCCTTGATAAGCTGCAAAAACAACGTCTAGTCAAAGTGAATGGAATAAAACAGTAATTTAAACATTATAGAGATAATTTATATTCAGAAATAGACTTTTGTTTTTCATAACTATGTAAATAACAGTTGCTGTGTTGTTACATCCGTCCATTCTTTTAAAACAATATACTTGCCTATGTTTTTAACTGTCAACAATGTTCTTTTATTTTATTGTCCTGTTGTTATATTGAATTATTTTCTTTGATGTAGTTTGATATAATAGACACCTTGTTTATTATTGTGACTATTTATATTATTGAAAAGCATCATTTATCAAGAACTTCTTAGATTAAACTTATATGTTTATACAAATATTGTATATATTATTTATGAGTTTTATATTTTATTTATTTGCAAAGCAGTTTGTTTGACAATTATGAAAAGCCTTAGACATTATGACTTATGATTGAAAGTTTTTGAACTTAGGTTTTGTTTTTCCTGGTGGATATAATTATATTATCCAAACAATGAAAGGAATCTGTTTTTTATAATTACACTCATTAATTGTAAATCATATTTTAATATGTAATAATTTATTTTCCATGAGTTTGAAAGAGAAAGTTTTATAAACACATTAATTTATCTTATATTTTTCAATGTTGAATGAAAAAATATGTTTTCATTCTCAAATTTGAAATAAATAATAAAGATATATTTTACATATTTGGTGTACTTCTTTGCTCCTTTATTTCCTTTTAGTTGAGGTAGTTTGAGAAAAAAAAAATTATATTTTGGAAAAAATTAAGCTTTTGATCTTAGGTTTTTGTTATTGCTGTTGGATATAATTATATTATCCATACAATGAAAGGAATCAGTTTTGTATATTTACATTCATTAATTGTAAATCATATTTTAATATGCAATAATTTATTTAACATAAGTTTCAAAGAGAAATTTTTATAAAGACATTAATTTATCTTATATTTTTCAATGTTGAATGAAAAAATATGTTTTGATTATCAAATTTGAAATTAATAATAAAGAAATATGTTATGTATTTGGTGTACTTCTTTGCTCCTTTATTTCCTTTTAGTTGAAGTAGTTTTGAGAAGAAAAAATATATTAAACATTTAAAAATTACCTTCTTTTTTAAACTTTATACGAAAAAAACTAGTTTCAATAATTAATGTTGTATTTTTTCATCGATTAATATATAAAGATATAATATATAAATAGATTAATAAATTAAAAGAAGTGGTAAATGGATCGGGTATGATTTTGAATTTGGCGGGAATAGTTCAGACTAGTGACGTCAGACATAGGTTTGCAAAGTTTAGTATAAGGAAGCCGCACCCTGCTCAGATAGTGGCTAGAGACTTGTTTCAGTAGTTTGTAAGGACCAATTGTAGTTAGATTTGTATGAATCTGTGACAACGAATGGTTTATAGAGACTCGCTTAAATGTGATCAATCTATTTGAACTGTGATCGGTTGAATTGAGTCGTTCCGGTGGATCGTGGAAACACCTTGCAGTTGACGGCTGAGGAGCTGGCAGGAATACAGTTTAATTGTTTGGATTTGGAGGTATATTTTTATTAATATTATTGCTTCCATAACACCTTGTTTCGGCTACGTCTTTAAAGACTTCGTCTATTATTAAAAATAAGACATAAATTCCAGAACAAGCGTCAAAGAATGACTCCATGGCGGCCATCATAATTGATGGTAGATGAAAATTCTATATTGTATGGCCCGGCAAACTTATATTGGACCTAATATATCAACAGTATCTAGCTAATTATAAGCAACAGTGTTTGCATTTGACCAAAAGATTATTTACTCAATAGTTTTTGGCCATTGCCTTGGTGTTGAATTTTTGAGAATATTATATATAAATTACTTTAAAGATGAAAATTACCTGTTTCTTATAATTTTGTTTAACTGATCTGTTGATGCAAGTAGTTATCTTTTGTCCCCATCTAAATCATCCTGTATGTATATTGATGTGTTTGTATGTTATCATATTTTATTGATAACTATGGTTTACAATGTAAACAAGATTTTGAACTAAAATCGTTCATATTTAATTAAGAGTTTGATAAATAAATATTATCAGTTATCTATGCCCTTGTGCAAAATATAAATATGTATTCTCTCTTATCCTGAAAATTGGACATTGAACTAAATTTTTACTTCAAACCCACTTTGAAGTAAAAATTGGGCAAATGGGGGCTCATTTATTTTGGTGAATCCATTTGGGAAACCAGACTATCAATTACTGATAATCAGTCTGATAAGCTCAAGAATATTACTTTTTCTGCTCATATTTTGCTATATTATTTTGATCAATGTAGTGTTTAAATATTGTTTCTTACGTTGTGTTAATGTAACGTACATTCTCTGTTTTAAACCTCTTTTTAATATTTGATTCTTTTTTACCTCATTTAGATTAATTTCATTGTATACTAGTACTGTAGTTTATTGATATAAAGTTTGTTTATCATTATCAATTAAGTCATTATCAATCAAATCAGATTGAAATAGTTCTTTACATAAATATTTAAGTTTGAATTTAGTTCATTTTCTACTCCTGTTTATTAAAACTTCAAATCTATGTACAATGTATGTATTGTAGAAAAAGCATTTAGTCTTTCCTTACCTTGTGGACTATTCATATCACTTATGAAATACTGCCTAAGAAGAAAATTTATTGTTATCTGCCTCTACTTGTTGCTAGATGGCAAGATTCCCACAGGAATGGAAAGTGGAAGGTTAGGTTGTCGCAAACATCCATATAAATTTAATTCTTAGTTTCACTATTGAACAAAAGTTGTTATCATTTGATATTTGATTTTGCAAATTGTGGTGTTATGATCACTTTATCGTTGTCTGTTTTCCCACTAATATTCTATATGCAATTACTTGAAAATGTAAACTATATACTCTTAGCATAAATCTTATAGTGTTAATTTTTTCGAAGAAAAGGGAAACGCAAAGGGCTATAGTATACACATCGAGTAATTGTTTGTTCTTAGTTATGTAATGATAAACAAAAAAATATAGCCAAAACATTTTAAGTTTATTTTTTAAACATTAGTGTTAAAAGCCATTTAATTATATATTTTTTATCTCACCATTTCAAGTGGGCATAAATTGTTAAAAAAATAAAAATAATTGTGTTGAATATATATTAGATAATTCAGTATCATTATTTACGAATGATTGACAGATTTAGAATTATGAAATTTATCTAATACTAATTTCGATGAGTTTTCTACTCTCTTACTCCTACACTGTATGAGTTAATATTATTTAAATACTTTTTTTAAATGTGGAAATAAATTAACATAAATGATGCGCTGTCTAAAATTAACTTATGACTATTTTTTTTATTGACTATTAATACATTTTACTGAAATTATGATGATGAATAGTTGATTGAAAATGTTCGAGTTGGATACTTGCCTTATACTGTTCTATAATTATTTATGTCATTGATAAATTATTATAATCATATCAAAAATTTATATCTCTTAACATAAATTAATGTATATTGCTGTTAATAAGCTTTCTTTATACGTAAAACCAGAATTATATCCATGAATTTTTGAAATTTCAAAAATGTTCGTGATTTTTTATCTGTGCTTTATATTTTTGAACATATTTTCTGAGATTCCTCTATAATGATTTAGTCTATACCTTATTTATTGTATGAATGTCGTAAGAATTTCAATCTAGTTTCAACATTTATCGATTTATGCTTTCTTTTAAAATTTTAGAGATATCTTAAGCTATAGTTTTCTCTGTTAGTACTGATGATACTATTAATTAAATCAGATTTGTTTAGATTCAATTAAAGCTTATTCTTTTATATTAAATTCCATTTGTTTTTCCTTTATTTATACATATTCTTTTAAAAATATGTTGGCTTGGTACTCGTAGCTTCTGAATAATTTCATCCAATTTTATTAAAACTTAAATTTTGCATTATCTAGTATGTGAACTTTGAATTACTTTTATACTTACCCCATAAAGTATTTTCAATGATAAGAAGATTTCTGATCATTAATGATAAAATAAAACTTTTCACTGGATTCCTATGTTTTTTCTTGTATTATAGTTTATGTATTTATAATATTTAGATGTTGAAATTAACCAACAGCCATGATTTATTTATTTTATTAACTACTGCTTTAGTATTGCGCCTTTTATTTTACAATCTTTATGATCTATTTCCCTTAAACTTCTAATAAGAACGCCTTTTATTATCCTACTTACATTTTTTAATTATTGATAATTAAACATCAATGATATTTACTTTATATCTGGTACAGATATGTTAATCTCATGCGGGTCCCGCATTACTGAATTCTAAACGTGTGTATCCTCGCTAAGTAAGAGAAATACTGTAAAAAACGTTCGTATGTTGGTTGAATTTGATAACGTATAACGACTTTCATTGCTTCAAATCAATTACCGAATAACGTAAAAGTGTTGCTAAAAACGTAAAAATTATTTGTTATTAAAGTTTTATTATACACATGTTTAAGTTTTCCGAATCAGTTACGTCTCACATTAATGATACTGAAAATCAATATGTTCTTTAAAAATTATTAAAACGAAAAACAGTTTATATGTTCAATTTTATTGTAATTAATTAATTTAAATTTTAGACAATTAGTTAAATAGCAATAATATTCTTCGAGAAGTTTTTTTTTTTTATTTTATGATTTTCTTCTGGATTTATTGTTTGAATACTAATTGTACAATTTGTATGGGGTATAGGAAAATATATATATTACTTTCCTAATATTAACAAATAATAATATTTAAAAAAAAACATTAAAATGTTATAGGATTTATTTCTGAAATCGTAAAATGTTCGGGCTTGTTACAAATCATTTTTTATTCTTTCCTAAGTTCATTGCTTAGAGGTAATACGAACAGATGGAGATTTTTTTGTATTTATTTCAAGGGCTTATGGATTTATTAAATAAAGTAATTACTGCTATTCTGAAAAATGACGAAAACTCATTTTTTTTCTGTAGGACTGTAAAAATAATATATCGATCTGTTTTTCTTCACTCCATCTACTTAATTATTAAATCATAAGTGTAATCCCCGTTTCTAAATTTAGAATTGAGTAATATAAAACGAAGTTACGACGATCTTAAATATATTCATCTTTTGATCAATTATTTTATTTCGAATTGGTTGTTATTGTCAAATGATATACTGTCAGTAGTCCATATTACAAAGATTAGAATTTTTTAGGTTGAATTTAACCCGAACTAATAAAGATAAATTGTATTATACTTTTTATTATTGCATAATTATTAATTGCAACAGATATTTCCAAAATGGATGCACGATATTTTCATTTTAAGTATCATTTTTACGATATCATTTTTTTTTTTTTTTTTGGCTTTCAATTCGTTTTATTTTTAATATTTTAGTCTCATCCATAAATGTTAAAAAAAAATATTTTTATGTAATATGTTTCAATAAAAAAAAACAAAAAACGAATTGCTTAATTTACATTCAGCCTATGTTAACATTTTGTACAGTTGATAATTTTTCAAGGAGTAATTTCCATTACTTCTCTTGTGAACTTGCATCAAATCTCATTTATCCGTTTTTCTGATGAGGTGAATATGATGTTAAAAAAAAACAAAAAAAAAACAGGGTTTCTTTGTTAAATAAATTCTCTGAAAACTTACAATTTTGATCACATAACCAAAACTAATTTCACATTTGGTTTTTATTTTTCACCCATAACTATAAACTAATTTTACATAGTATTTTTGTCTTTTTTTAGAATTATTGTAAAGAAAGTATTTATTCTAATATATTGTTTAAAACAGTATTTAATAAAAATCTATGGACGCTGATTTTAATATATTTCAGAAGAGGTCATGGCTATAAGTATTACAGTAATATCAATATTTATAATTAATAAAAACAGCTTCATTCTCTTACTAGCGTCGTATTTCCCTCCGATTCATGGTCGAAAAAACTTAATTTAATTGTTTTATAAATTTTTCCCGAAGGAAATTTAATAGAATTACGATATCAATCGAATTTTCTTTTTCACGTTTTGATTTTTATCATTTTTTTTTCCAAATTTAATTTAACGAAATGTGGCGAAGAAAATAAAACAGACCCCAAAAAATCACTTGAAATCAATTCACATACAATTTTTTTAATCTTTAACTTAGTTTGCAAGAGCTGTAGAGGTCTAAAGACCACTTCGATGAACCATATTTAACTCAATCTTTTATGGTGTTATTCTGCCTAGAAAATAATCCTATATACCGGTATAATAACGCCTAGTGTTGTGATAACGCGTGGTGTTGTGGGGTGGGGGATGGAAATATATTTATCAGGGCTTGAAACGGAAAAATATTATTCCTAAAAAGTTTCGGTATTGAAATTTTTACTGTCTATAGTTTTTCAGTTCTTTGGAACTTTTTCTCTTGAAACTTTTCTTGTAAAGGTTTTACAGAACTTTTATTTTTAAAACCTTTTATTTAAAAGTTCTGTCGATTAAGCTAAAAATTCTATCTAAAAAATTGTTTTTATTC